CCTCCGCACCCAGCGCACACAGGACTGCCCTGCGGTCCCAACCCTCAGCAGCCCCTTCCATTTCTTGGCAGTCAGCTAAGTAGCTTGCAAAGCATCACAGTTCCCCTGTGCAGTTGTTAAAACAGCCAGCCACGACACTGTTATTCGCTAGGAACACTTCAGAAGCTGCTGTTGGACAGACTATCCTCCCCTTCATAGCCCTGCTCTCATCTTTTCCTTACTAAGCCCACAACTGCACAGCTATTAACAGTTTTCTGTCTTGAACCACTGTGAAATTTGCCTGTTAAGAGGGAACAGCTTCAGCAAACCCACAGCGGAGTCAGATGTTGAACACAGCTGGGACACGGTGACCAGCCACCTGAACACCCCGTGGGAACACAGCTGGTTTTTGCAGAGGTTTCGGGTTGGAATAGCGCAGGCATCGAGGGGCATCCTGCCTCCTCTCACCTGCTGGATTTCTCCTTACCGGCTTCCTCGTCCCACACATGCAGCCACTCTCGTCACACAGTCGATGCATCTCATGACAAGGACAGAGCTGTCAATGTTCATTTTCCTCGTCTTTCCTCCTGCATCCCTCATCTCGTGCTCCGGCCACCACACGTGCCTGAGGAGCTCATCCCCAGGTCTCCCTGCTGTCTGCCTCCTCCATCACACTCCACGCCATCGCTCCCCCGCACCCAGGTCAGACCACAACCAGGGGGCGAACACGCTCCTGTGGCAGCAGCGAGCGCCAACACCCGCAGAGCTCGGCCTTTTCCCTAGGGCAAGCAGAGGCCATCCCGCCCGCCAAGCTCTGGCTGGCGAGCTGTCCTTCACCATGTAACGAAGCAGCTTCCTGAGGCAGAGGTCTGGGAGGGTGCTGCAGCCCAGGGCTCGCCGCCCGCCGGCCGAGCTGCCCACCCGCCGTCTCTCACAAGCGTCCCTGTCGGTTCACATCTGCCAGGAACGTGTTTGCAGCTCGCTCCCCTGGCCTGCTGCTGTCAGAAACCAGCCGAGCCAGCTTTTAATAGCAGTTGGTGTTTCCAAAGGCCGCCTTTTTTGACAGCTCAGTGGCAGAAGAGGCGAGTGAGGAGCAGGGGGCTTCTGAGGTGCCACTGCCCCAGCACATCCCTCTCTCACATCTTGCCCAGGAAGCCTGTGAGGTGTCCAGGCGCCCAGGGATTCGGGAGTAGATCTGGACTTCAAACTCTGCAAAGAAGTCCCCTTTCCCAAAACGTTCATGCCTTGTGTGAGCCCTCTCCCCTCATGATGTGGCATCTCCACACAGAACCTGAAGGGCCCTTTACTGACTAGTTCCCCTCCAAGTCGCCGTCACTAGAGACACTGACCACCTCACGCTGACCTGCATCCACTGTCTCACTGATGGCTTCAGAGCGTGGCTGCTCGCTGTGGCTCATGCCTTACACAGCAGGGCCGGGCCTGAAGACATCCCCATGGTGGCAGTGGCTGCCCAAATCCAGCAGCTCCACAAGGGCTTCTTTTCTCGCCTGCTCTGTCTTTCAGCCTCTCCAAATTTCCAAATAAATGCCTCTGAGCAGACATTTGATTTTGAGAGTGGAGCAAAACAAGTGCCACTATTTCAGTGACACCAGTGAAAGATACTGGTGAAAGGGGGAAGGGAGGAACCCTTGTGCATCCTGAATGCTTCTCCAAAGGACAGTGTGGGATTTTGTGTTCAGTCAGCTCCATCCTATAGGGCTCTGCCCACCTGGGATTTTGTGTTCAGTCAGCTCCATCCTATAGGGCTCTGCCCACCCCTTCCGTGGGGAGGCCAAGCCATGGCACAGCACATCTTCCTGCCAAAAGGCCAACTCAATAAACAGCTTCGCTTTGGCTTCCTTAATTCTATTCCACAGTGCCTGCCGTCATCCTCTTCATACCACTTGGGAAATGACAAGCTCAAAAAAAAAATCCCAAAAAAGCAGCAAAGAATAGAAATTAAACACCTGCTCAGAGGTAACTTGGAGATAACCAGCGCTAACTGCACGCACCCGCAGGTCTTCAACTTTCCGCACACCAACTTCTCAATTTTTTAATCATTTTTATTTCTCCGCCCTTCCCACTTCCCACGTGGAAACAAAAGATGACTCATCAGCTAAAATAAGCACCTGGGACTGCTAAAAGGCCACGCGTTTGCTTATTTTGGCCTAGGGCATTTGGCAAGTCATTTTACTGATCTGACATCTTGGTTTGCTTCTGACCCTCCTTCCCCTACCCCCAGCCGGACAGCACAGAGGGACAGAGCAGTGCCAGAACCTGGCCACACACTATTTTTAGGACTTAATTTAAGGGAACACAAACTCATGGAGTCTAAATATTTGCAGCATCTGAACAATTCAGCTATCCAGGGGAAGCAACTGTTGCACTGGGGATCCGATCCCCTCTCCAGTCCTCCCCCTGCTCTCACCACTAGCTGGGGACCGCACAGAGCGTGGCTGTTTTTCCACCGAGCAGTGGAGCGCCCTTATCACGTTTGGTTTAGCTGATACTGCATCAGGAAGAGGAACTGATAATGAAAACCTAAAACCTGCTACGTGGGCTCAGCCAGAGGCAACACGGTTACTGCACCAAGAGAGATCTGCAGCCACAGGCCTTCTGTACAAGAGCGGAAGAGGCAGGTTGGAGGTCCTCCAGGCTCCCCTCTCGCCCCCCCCCCGCGCGGTGTCGATGCGGGCACGTGGTGCGAGGTTTGCCCATGGCATCGCTGAAGCTGCCACACTAATACCCTCACCCAACACACTTCAACTGCGCTTGCGGGGTGCACAACTGCCACCACGGTGCCGTGCTTGCAAACACCTATTTCACTGGTACGTCACCCTCAGTTAAAAAAGTGCTTCTCATGAGACAGACAGCAAGAAATCTTCCTGATTTCCAGACTGACCACCCTAAACAGATCCAAGGTCAGCAAGTGAAAAAAGTAGGACTGGGAAGCCCAGCCTCCAGCAGAAGAGCTGGCCCCATTGCCTCCCCATGCGTGGGCATCGAGCAGAAGTGCCCACACTGCACGCAGAGGCGTATGATGAAATATTCATCACCCGCCCCGGCTTTCTGATGTGTCACCTAAAGGTGGGCATGCTTTAAACCTTACCCCAAAGCTGCCTGCCCCAAGCCAGGTATCTGTCAGCACAGACACAGGCGACGCAAATCAATCTGTCATCTCAGCCACTTCTAACAGATACAGTTTCACAGCATGACTCTAGCTGGCTTCACTGTTAGGGCTTTCGAAGAAGCCTAGAACAGTTAAAGAGTGAGAAATGCAAGTTCAGTAGAGCAAAGAGCTGGGAGCAACTGTTAAAGCAAAGAAAATACAAATAAAGGCTCAGTCCCATCGGCATTATCACATTGGGCTCTCCCACAGCGAGGCCACCAATGCACATAAAAGCACAGGCACAAAGCATGGATTGGCAAAACATTGCACAGCCGCGCGTAACGCACCACCTCGACAGGAACAGCCCACCACAGGAGCACTCCATTTCCATACAGATGGAAAACAGGCCCTGATGGGAGCTGAGGACAAGTTATGGTGCATAAGAAGCTTTCTTAGAGACGGGCAACTCGGGGAGATTCCCTACAAGACAAGAGGTCTTCCCTCCCACCCAGCACTCTCTAAGCAGAGGCCAGGGAACCTCATTGGTTCTTTGTGCCATCCCAAGGGCTGGAGCTGATCACACTGAGCTTGCTGCCTGCCAGAACAGCAACCTCAAAGGCTGCTCCAGGACTCCCCTAGGAAACGAGGGATGTAGTTATCTCTCTGAGAGCATTTGTCTTAGCAGATTTAACCCAGCCAGGAAACTCTCTTGACAGGGATGTTAAGGGTAGTAGTGCCTGTGACTGGGTTAGTGGTTACCTGGCAAGTTTGCTGTTAAAACCCAAAACATTTAAAAAGAGGGAAGGCATGTGAATTTTCATCACTTGTAGATAGCCTCAGGAATGGGAAAGCATATGGTCACTCAGTGCTTAGAGCAGCAGACTGGGAGAACAGGCAACTCAAGTTCTCTTCCCAGCTCTGCTGCAGATTTGCTTTACAGTCTTGGGGAAGGCAGCTCAGAGCTCACTGCCTCCTTCCAGGAGGCCCACAGACCTGAGCTGCTCAGCAGTGCTCAGAGACGACTGCTCATAAAAGAAACAGAGTTTTTCTCCCTGTATTTCATTCATAAAAATCACAAGGAGAATTCTAGTGGCTGTTGTAAGGACAAAACCCCAATTATCTCATTTGGAAGACTAACAAAGGCCAGTTTCAAGGGTCCTTTCTACAGGACTGAGAAGCCCTCCAGGTCTGCCAGAAGTGCCGCTGGGAGTCCTGGCACCAGAGCTCAATGCAGCTATTTCCAATCATTATCCAAGGCCCAGCTCCCCAGGGCCTGTTGGTTTTCCCCAGCGTTTTGCTGAGACTAATGAGGACTGACTTTTTGACTCTTTTTTACCATTCAGTTTCTTAAGCAAAAGCAAAGCATTTTGATTCACTTGGAAATGGTGCAATTAAACCATTTTCCAAACAATTTTGGGTTTTCTTTTCTATGAAGAACATTAAACAAAGCAATGATTTTCAGCATTTTCTATGGAAAAAAAAAACCTCATATATTCAAGCATCTCTAACTCCATCCTCTATGATGGGAAGCTGCAGGGATTTACTCTGATGTGTAAGTCTCTGTGACAGACTTTTAGAATACCATTAAAATAAGCACCCCCAGAAGGGGAAGAAATCATATCTTATGCAAGTGGAAAGTGTGAAAATGAAAAAAGAGGAAAAGTCTCCCTCTACCCAAACACTGGTCATAATCTCTGCCACTTGTGCACCCATTTTTGAGGTTAGTCTAGACAGTGCTGGTGTAAGGGCTTCAGCACCTCAGCCCCATGGCCGTGTTGGTGATGGCAGCCCTTTAGAGACCAACACCATGTTATGGGTGACATATGGTTGTCAGCAGAGATGCCTCTGTACCACTAAAGAGCTACACAGACATCATGAAGAGCCAAGCAACTGCCAGATGCAAGAACCCTACCTTCCTCCAAGTCATTTCTCAGAGAAGCCTCCAGCAGAGCAACACTGGCTTCAAAAGATACTTTCTTTCTGTTCACAGCACTTCTCTTCTTCTCATGCTTCCGCTTCTTGTGTTGCATCTCCTTCTCATACTGCGCCCACTTCTTCAGCTGCTGAGCCCTCCGTTTCTGGGCTGCCCGCAGCCTCTCCAAGGTGGGCACCTTATCCAGCAGCTGAAGCTCCGTCAGGAGATCCACGTGGGCATCCATCGCTTCAGCCAAGAGAGGGGAGTTGAAGGACACCCCAGCTAGAAATGATGTCCTGCAGGAGGCCCTCTGGTTTGCAGCTGCCTGGTGCTATACCAGCATCATGGGGCCGAGCTGTGAACAGTCCATGGCAGCGTCTGGAGAGAAGATGGTGGAACCCTGCAATGACAATCAAAGTGTGAGGGACCAAGTCTTAGCCTCCCATGCAGAGAAGCAGTGAAGATCAGCCCACTGGAAAACTCAACAGGCAACACCTACCATCTCGAAAGAAAGATCATTTGATTGCACTTTAATTGCTTTGTTCTTCTCACTGGCCTTTGTAATTCCACCTCTCATCTGCTCCAAACACCCACTCCTTCATGTGAAACCTTCTTGATTAAGTCATAGCACACAGTTTATTCACAGCTACAGCTCAAGGTAGAGCTCTCATTTATGGACAGAGAAAACCCTTGTGAGCTATCAAACAGAGATCTGTATATCTGAGATCATTCCAGAGATGGCTTAGGAGAGATTCATGTGCTGAGACATATATCCTGCCCATCAGCTGGCCCCTTCCCACATAATATTGCCCCCTCCTCTTGCAGGGGTGCCCAACATCTACCCAGAGCTGCACTGCACTGGGAGTGCCCTCAACAAAGCGTTTCAGTCCAAGCAGCAAATCCCAAAGCAGAGGAGAACACAAGGTATGAGAAGATAAGGTATGAGAGTACCTGGCTCGCACTGTCCTGGTATGAGCCAGGAGGAAAGGAAAACCACGGGCAGCGAATCAGCCCAGTGCCACAGACACCAGGCAAGGCTGCTCCAGCTAAATAAATCATAAGCCGGAGTCTTGTGAGGTTACCCAGCCTATGCTGAGGCCCACGCGGGGTTGTTATTGCTCTCTGATGAGCTCTATCTAACAAGAGCATCATCTGCTCTCGGCTGCTTCACACATCAGCACCTTCTTACCACAACTCGAGCTGAGGGCTTTTGCCACAGGGGATACGGCTCTTACAGAAGCATTATTAACACTTAAACTACCTCAGCTACTTAAGGATATTGGGGTTTGTGTTCATTTCTCTTTTCCCTCCAGACTTTCTCTTAACCACTCATTAGCTCCTCCTGGAACTGCAAGGACCCCATCAGCACAGCTAAATCACAGGACCCAGTGGGACCATCACATCAAAGCCCAACGAACAGCACTGCCCACTATCAACTGAGACACATACACACAGCCACTTAATCATTTCTCCTCCGCATTTAGGGAGCGGACCAAGAGAAAAGATGGACCTGAAATAACGTCAATGTTACCAGCAGATTGAATTAATCTGTTCCAAACACAGGACTGTACAGCACATCAAATGGCAAGGTCACCCTGCCTATTAAATTAAGGCAAGTTGCAAATAAACTCATAAAATGAGAGATCTGATGGTTCAGCCAGCTTGAAAAATAAAAAGTGGATGGGGACAGGAGGCCATGGGGAGCTTAACTATTTGTGGACACCTGAACCCCTCCCATGTGACAGTGAAAAGTGAGTCACTCCTTCCCCAACTCTCCTACCCCAAAAGAGAGAAAGTAACAGTCTTGCAAGTGAAAAGATGCAAAGTGTCTGCAGGAAAAAATAGCTGCAAAACAGAAGTAGAGATGGGTGAGAGATCTGGTTAGATAGCAAAGCTCAACCCCACTGAGACAAGCCAGGAAACGCCGCGGTGCGAGGCCTCCCCAGCAAGCAAAGCGCTGCGAGCAGGGCGAGCGCTTCTGGGCAAACACCCACGCAAGCGCCGGAGCCCACGGCATCCCGGCGCGTTCTGCAAGACCGACACGTCCACCCTGCTCCTGCACTGCTGCAGACCTTCCGCAAGGCTTTGACCTGACTTACAAACATCTTGGCAGCCCGTCAGCGAGACGTGTCGTTTCCTCCGCAAGATAATTGGTTTGAGAACTGCAAACAAACCCACCAAGGCAGGCAATGCGCACAGGCAGGTCCTAGGCAATGCCCGCAGCTGCATTGTTCAGCCAAGGGGCTAGCAGAAAGCCAGGGGTAGATTTAGTGGCACCTGCAAACCTTATTTAGAGAGTTTCAGAATAGACAGGAACAAAAAATTAAAAAAAAAAAAAAGAGAGAAACTCAAAATGCTGTTTCTGTCCTACGAGAACTTCAGATTTCAAGCAAAACATTTCAGTTTCACCCAAATCTTTGCAAAGTTTTTCATAAGAAAGAAACTTGCCCCTAAACTACCAGTCTAGTAATATAAATACTTGCCTGAGATGGAAAATATCAATTCAAGATATTAATGTGCAACAGGAAAAAGACGACACTAGCATCGTGCTATGGTGGTTCTGCAGCGTGAAGGACAGTCCCATAGAGGACTCCTGGGTGGTTGCTTATCTACCCCTCATCTTTCATGAGCCAGAATTCATCCTGGACCCACGAAACTCTTCTAATAGGAGTTGCCTAAACACAGCCCTCTTCCAGAAAGCTTTTGTTTTGGTACAGACGCATTTTTCGAACACAGGCATTTTTGCTGGAAAACTCCTTACCAGTTCTAGTGAACTCTGCTCTGTATGATATGAATCCTGCCCCTTGCAAACATTCTTTAGAAAGTATCTTTTTTGGCGATCTTTGTTCCCGTAACACACACTGCAGCCCCATTTACAATACCTCAAATGGCTGGAGACAAGGGCAGGAAATGCCTCTCGGAATTCCACACACAGCGCTCCCACCCACCTCCCTTTCCAGGCACTTTTACCATTGTTTGCTGAAAGATGAACAAATATTTTTCAAAATACACCTGACGTAGAAATAAGGGCCAAATTCTGCATGCTTACTAAGGCAAATAAACCATACTTCAGTGCTTCCCTGTTTACCCAAGAAAAGCAGCAAGCTTTCTTCATGGAATTAGGAGCGCACCTTGGAAAGCACCACAGGACACCGTGAATCATGAGGGAAGGGGAAGAAGTGTGGTTTGCTCTGCTTGTCCAGATTTTATCCCTCCTGAATACACCTTGTTCTCCAGCAGCATGGCCAGGGAGAGGTCAGCAGCCTGATGAGGGGAGTGAATGGAGGACAGGAGCTCCACGAACACAGATGCCTTCTGCTCACAGGCAAATCAGCTCATTCTTGACCACCTGAGAACCAACGTATCCACAAATCAACTAATAGACAAAGGTCCAAAAGATCACAGGGTTCTCCCAGAAGGGCACAGGTGAATTTCTCCCTCACTTGGGTATAACTCTCCCAGCAAATTCCCCAGAGGCTCATGAAGACATTGACTCCATCACTCCAGCTGCTTGTTTTCAGATGACCTAGTTTCTTCACTGTTCCCCAAAAATATGGGGCATCAACTTATCATAGCACAAACTGGTCACTCTAATCATAGCAGTTATAGACCCAAGCATTTGTTTACCTGCAGAGCAGCACAGAAGTTAGCTGTGTGGGTGTCTGTGGTTTGCAAGGCATCACGGTTTGGTTTTTGTTTTATTTAAGGAAAGAGAAAAGCACTGCTCCTCACGCTTGATTCACATCAGTTTCCATGAGCTCAGCAGTTCTGTTTTCAAGAGGTGCAGAGCACATCCTGTGAGCCACATAAGAACACAATGGGGACAATAATGGTCTATTTCAGGGGCCATAACAAAGGAGACACTATTGTACTGCCCTTGTGTCATCACCAGAGTGCACCAGCAGAAGAGGGTCTGTTTCAACAGTGTCAAAATTCACTCCCTACGAAGGGTATACAGATATTAGCAAACAAGCATTTAGGGGGGAAAAAAAAAGTATGCATTTCCTGTACACTTTACTGCACCTTGATATAAGATTTGCCTAACCAAGATCAAAGAACTATTTTGGGACAGTGGTTACTCACTTGCGTTACCAGAAGAGATCCTGATTCTGTGAAGTGACAACGTACCGAATCACTGGAGGGAACCAGTTGACTAAACTGTGCACCGTGCCACCAGCCCTGCCTGCTGATGCCAGTGATGAGTGATGGCTTGGACCCAAGCAGCAGCTCCCGAGCCACCCAACACTCTCCCCGGAGAAGCAAGTGCTCAGTCATCCCCTAAACCGTGTCAGTGCCGAGCACGGAAGCGCTGTCAGGTTTGCCAAGACAGGCACTGTCTTGCCAAGGTCTTGTAGGCCGTTCTCTGCACCGGTCTGTGATGCCTTCAGGAAGATAGGAAATCAAAGCTCTCCGCTCTCCTAATGATAGGAGAAGTAAACAGCAATTCCTGCTTGGAACCAAGAGTTTCCTTATCAGTGCAGGGTGCACCAAGACAGGAGGCCTCCTTCGGAAAACCAGAGCTTGAAGCCTGCGGTGCTTTCCTTATTACAGCATGGCTTCCCAACCTCCTGCCCCTTGGACAAGTGTTTCATTAGAGCATCTTTAACACTGACAGCATGCCAAGTTTTACCACCTAACAACTTACTGTTGCAGTCTTACACCCCGGTAAGAGGACCCAGCCATCAGCTCTTCCAAGTGACAAAGAAAGAGGATCAGCTACCAACGAAGACCCCACATCAGAGTAGACTGAGGAGAGGAACACAAAGCACCTCGAGCTTCCCCAGAGACAGGACTGCCTCTCCAAGCAATCCTGGCTTCACAACATTGATGTTTTCCTCTCCAAGGCTACAGATTTCCAACAAATTTCAAAGAAAGGGAAAAAAAAAAGATGCCCCTGCAGTAAAAGGTTGCAATGGTAGGCAGTTCAAAATGCAATGTTTCCTAGAGCCACGAAAGATTTTCTTTGATTTACTGAAACTGACATTTCTCTAATGTCATGGCTGGATGGGTGGTATTACCACTGTTACCCAGATGACTGTAGCACAGCTGGGCACCAGCTACTGCCCATTCTGGGATGTCAGGGCCAACAGCAACACTGCCCTCAGGAGACTGCGCCTCGAGATGGTCACACCTTGCATACAGCTCAAGGCAACACATTGAGCAACGGCTCAACAAACACCTAGCCAGCGCTTTCACGATAACAGTACAGCTAACCCCTCTCAGGAGGTCGGGGGATCCATAAACGGGCGCATGGAAGCAAACAAGGCCACTTGCCTGAGCTCAGGCAGCAAAAGCACCACAAGAGCTACAGGAACCATCCTGGGGTGATCATCTCCCGTCCTGTGCTCGGGCACGAGACAGCAGCGAGCCC